GCGGGGAGCGGGGACGGTCGAGCGGTACCGAAAGCCGGCGGAGTTGTGCGTAACGTCTTGTTTGACAGTGCCCAAAGAGCGACATGATGACTGAGGAGCCATAAATGCTCAATTCGCATTGCTTCTACAATGCTGATATGTTCGCTGATATTTGTTTTATTTTCTATAAGCTGCAACTGACGGACAGATGGCATATAACTGACATAAGGTTGGGAAATATTCACCTGCCTATGGCGCTGCAGATAATGCGATAATGGGATGTCGGATGTCATCAAGTAGCTCCTGATTTGTACATCGCTATGCACCCATCGACCAGCGCAATAATTAGCTAATTGCCTTCGCTTCACATCATAAGGCTCGCTCGTATTTCACCAAACAGATATCCTACATCGAAAATCGTATGTTAGGAATCGTTAACGTTTTTTCGAAGCATGTGTGAGTAGAAGATTAAGGAGCAATGGTCCTCTTGGTCCCATATACCTACAAGAGTCAACAAGAGCCTTACATTTACCTACTTGACGGTCTGCTGCAATTGATTCATAGCACGTGAAACGTCAGCGAAATTCATAGTCCTTTACAGATGGCAGGTGTGTCGTTTGTACAGAGGTCGCTGATGGGCACGGGTCAATGCCGCAGTCGTGGGCGGAGCCTAATGTCATATGACGTATGAAAGCCTCTATCCAGGATGGAAAAACAGTTAACATTACGAGTCAATGACAAGTGCCACAAATATTTAAGTGACAACAAAATGTATTGGAAGAAAAAGTTTCGGCTGGTCTTGAAACAGCTAGTTCCTAAATATGGTTGAAATCATTCCACGCATTTTAAAATAATCGCGAAAAATTAGGGTCTCAAGGCGTCTGGCGTTAACAGTAGTTGCCAGATAGTGGAATTCCGATAACGAAACATTTATTCCACACTATTATATTATATACCTACATATCCGGAATTGGAGGATGTTCAGTAATTGAGGCGCTCGCTCATAGAATGCCGTGCGTTTCATGCACAATCCTCAAGCAAAATTATTTTTACTTTCCAATTTTCCACATTTTCTCAAGGCTTAGACCGTTACAGAGACCGTTTTAATTGACTTTGATGAAGTTGAACGCGAGAAATCACAACCAAATGCTACATTAGGTTGTAAAGAACTGAATTGCGTTTTCCCACACACGTGGCGTTTTCTCACCTACGTCTGCAGGAGAGACCGGACCCACTATGCCCCCCCCCCCCCCCACCATCGAAAGGTTCTTCATGACTCCCGGGGGCCCCCGGGGAACCTGAGGGGCCCTATACACTGTGGTGGGCCCCTTCGAAAGCAGGTGGCCCCCTCCTGGGCGAAATCCTGGGTACGTGCCTGGTGGTGCCCCTGATAGGTCGGTGGTGCCCCCGGGTCCCAAGGGAGGTCATGAGTGACCCATATGACCCCCCTCCTTGGTATCCGCCACTGTGATCTGATCGCAACCCCCAGAAATAAATAATCGTAAATCATCAATTGCTTCCGGTACGACCGGTATTGCAGTGCCTCCGGAACGTTTGCTCAACAATGTGTAGATGGCTATGACGCGACTCGCCGCAAATCAGTGTGGAATTTCTTGTCACGAATACGCATATTAGCTAATCGCATCATTTCTACACTGTACCATAGTGATCTGGCATGTACGTCACCTATCAGGAGGATGTGGTCAAGAACGCTGTATGGCTGGTGATTGTTACTGCACGAGGGGGTATCGAAAAGTTCTGATCATCGCCGCATAAACGATATAGACCGATTTTGATGATTTTTGGTTGCTATTATATTTGGTTCTTAAGAACAATGTTTCCGCAAAGAGAATCCTCAGAAGTGGTTTTATCTTATGTAGGAGAGACTTAGAAGTAAGAAAGATGAGTATTGGGCCCATTGAGGATCGAACCGTCATCCAACTAATGCATTTGAAACGGTATCACACTGAGAAAATACATCAAGAACGTGAAATTAGTTGATGGCGAGGAAAGCCCATCTCATGCACTTACCGAAAATGAAGAAATAATTTTCAACTTGGTTGCATGGCCCTTGCAGGGGAGTCAAGAAGTGAGTGACTACCAGTGACTGACAAGGTTGTGACTGTGAAGGAAGTAGAGGACCTCATCCTTACAGATCGTCGTGTGACCTTTCAGATGATTGTGCAACAGAAAGGTCTCAATGCTGGCAGTGCCTGAAAATATTATCAGCGAAGAACTACAGATAATAAAGGAGTCAACCCGCTTAGAAGTTCGTGGGTCTACTTTGTTCAAGAGAAAAATGCGTCTTGGCCTTTCGAAACCAAAACTAGGCCTTTTTTTAGGAAATTGAAGACATCTTCGATCATTTGATGACTTTTGACCAATGCTGGGTATATGTGTATGATCCAGAGACAAAAGGATGATCAAGAAGTTTAAGCACGGCACATCTGTCCTTCTTAACCCTATTAGTGGCAGGGGGGTTGTTTTTATCCACCCCTCAGGTTTTTCGGGAATATCTCCGAAACCGCTGAAGCTACGATGCTGAAATTTTCTGACTTTTCCTAAAACTAAACTGGACACATTCCCTGAAAATTTCAAGTTCATAACTTTACCAGGGGCGGCTCCAGAGCACTGGGAATTGGGGGGTCCTATTCGTGAAGCGAGTCATTTGGGCGAAGATCACGATGCTGCACCAGTTTTACGAACAGTGAATGAAAGGTATCATGTGATAACATATACAAAGTTATTGTGCATCCTCTTTTGACACGTTTTTGCTATAATAGGTGGATCCAGGCGTCCAAAAAGAGGGGTTATTTTTTACCTTCCAACATAGGTGCCCTGACACCGCCTATGCATGACCAATACAATTTTAGTCGTTCTCTCATAAGAAAATTGTAACATAACAAGACCATTGCCACCCTTTTTAGAAACAGTACCAACAAAAACCTTAGTTACTTTACTTTTTGTGTACCCCCAATCTCAATGATCTGTATCCGCCTATGATTTTTGAAAATGCATATTTTTAGGATCCATGTGAATTCCTGGTTCATTCTCTATCGATCGGCAAAAGTTGCGTTAAGATTGGTTCAGAAACCTGGCCGTGATAAACAGTCTAAAATGTATCTGCAATTTGCCCGTTTTTACTCCCTTCTACCCCCCTATTGACATTTTTTAATTTTATTTTTTTTTTAGAAATGTAGATCTCGTTGAGCCACATCGAATGCCGTTTGAATTTTGAAAATCGGCCCGTTAGATCTCGAGATATCAAGGGGGGGTCGTAAACAGCCCCCCCCCCCCTGCCACTAATATGGGGTAGCCAGGAGCCTGCCACTAATAGGGTTAAAAGGCGAAGATGCAGAAGCCGATAGGGAAGGTCAATGCTATCAGTGTTCTGGATCTGGCGTAGGATAGTCATTACCGACTGTCTTGATGATGGTCGGATAATGATAAGCAAGCACTACCGCACACTTTTGAAGAAGTTGCGAGATGGCCTCAACCAGAATCGCCGCAAAAAAAAAACAAGAAAGATGTTTTATCCTCACCGACAGCGCCCCCGCCTATTCGTCCTGAGCTGTGATTGAAGAAACAACATGATGTGGACATTAAATCCTACCGCATCTAAGAAATTCACCTAACCGGGTATTAACTGACTCTTGATTGTTACGGGGGATGAAGAATCCACAGTATGGTCGATGATTTAAGGACAGAAATGACGTCATTGATGAGGTGGAGCAGTGATTTACGGGACAGTGCGAAGGTCCTACAATGACCGCCAGAGGCTGTCATTTATGACCCAAGAATATTTATCGAGGAAAAAAGTTATCCGATGGCGACAAGAAGGGCAAAAATATACATCATGCCTTTTTCAGACAAATGTAGATGCCAGGTGGACGATCATTCAACAGCTAGTGAAGTGCAAACATAATATAATGTTACTTTTGGGGGCGGCGCGCCATTGCCAGTGACCGGCGGCTGTGCCGTCCCGTCGTCTTTGGCTCCCGAAACTTCAGTGGACGAGCTCACACGAGTTTTATGCGGCTCCGACGCTCGTCGCTGAACCCACAAATCCAACAAAACACACGCACAAGTTCCTCAAAGTGTCACTTGCCTCCATTGAGAAAAAATGTTAAGACGTTGCTTTTGGGTCATATATGAGCCAAGCGGCATTAATGGGTTAATTTATTATATAATTTTCAAAAAATGCAATTTTGAATATCTGAGCTAACAGTTTGATAGCGCTGTCTATTCTGAGTCCGCTCATCGATAGGCGTTATCACAGGTGTATCCGCGGCCATTGGGGCGACGTAAGAAAAGAGGAAAACAACTGGCCCCAAGAACTTTAAATTATCAGTTAGCATGCATCTTTTCCTTGATATGTAGATAATTTACCATTAATTGTTAGAGAAAATTGCGTATAAAATCTTCCATCTATGCTTTTTTCATCGTTTCCATAATATGTTCTTTTACTAAGCTAGAAACACTAATTAGAAATAGTTCCTGCATCATCGTCAAGAACAATAGGAAAGGCTTGAAGTGAATACAATAATCTAAATGGTTTTGTAATCTGTGTGAAGACACTTCTAAAATTGCCTGTAGAAATATTGAAGGCAAAAGTTCAACATTTGCACAAGACGGATGTCTATAAACCTATTCAACGTGTGACAACTCAGCCGGTATTTCGTCGCCTACAGCCAAGCTTTCCCTAGTGACCGATAGAGGAGCTGCTATCGATGTCCGCCCGTGCCGCCTAACGTACAAAGACATTGGATCTAGCCCAGTGAGAAGTCCTCATCACAGTACATTGCCACCATGACCAAAAGCTGATGGAGACAGGAGTATTGACTTTTGATATGTCATATGAGTCATCCATTGGTGTTTTTACCAATGTATTGCCTTAGACCTTTTGGAAGAAGTAATCAAAATTTGTTGAGTGAAGGGGAATATGGAGAGGAGCACATATTGTCTGCCTTTGGGAAGAACGAAATCAATCAAACTTATGAACAAGAAGTCATCATGCATTATACTCCGTGTCAATGAGTTCAAATACCTTGGACATTTACATACACAGCTCTGTTTCACTGGCCAGCAATGGTCCGCCGGCTCACCTGCGTGCTCGTGAGATGTACTCGTTTCTGCGGTACTCCATTTCGAGCCGCAGAGTCTGCTCCGAGCTAAAGGTGGTGCGCTGTCGTCTGTGGCGCACCTCCTTCCGTCGCCGCCTACCCACTGCAACGGCAGTCAGACGTACGCATCAGTCGGACACGTACACAGCCCGGGCCTACCCACTGCAACGGCAGTCAGACGTATGTACAAGTTGTGAGACTCCTAATGGATACTAGGTTCTCCAAGGTTCATTTCCCTGTGAAATCCCCTCTGGCAGTGAGGGCGTTGCGAAGTTGCGACACCTGAAGACCGTGCAGAGGTTCACTTATGACCTCATGGGTCAGTGACCTGATCTGACCCGAAAATGCGGTTGGTATCAAAAGATCCGGCTTGATTCAAAGTTCAGGTATGCAAAGCTTCAGCTCTCTATCCCCGGCGTGTTCGGGGCTATCGCGAAAAAAAAAACTATGGAGGGGCGGCACCCGCCCCCCCCCCATCGGCCGGCGAGGGTTAAGGCCCTCAGAGACCAGTACAGGGCCTGCAAAGGGCAGGATGAGACCTTTAGATGCCGACTTGGGCCATCAGAGGCTAATGTGGGTCCTTGCAGGCCAGCATGGGCCCTCAGAGGTCAGTGTGAGACCCTAAAATGCCGGCATGGGCCTGTGTTGGACCCCAGAGGCCAGCAGAAGGCCCTCAAAAACCAAGATGGGCCTCAGAGGCCAGCATCGGATCTTCAGAATCCAGTGCGGAGCCCTTAGAGGTCAATGTGGGACCCTAAAATACCAGCATGGGCCGGTGTTGGACCCCAGAGACCAGAAGAAGACCCTCAAAAACCGAGATGGGCCTCAGAAGCCGGCATCAGGTCTTCAGAATCCCGAGCAGGGCCCTCATAGGCTAATGTGGGTCCTTACAGGCCAGCATGGGCCCTTAGAGGTCAGTGTGGGGCCCTAAAAGACCGGCATGGGCCGGCTTTGGACCCCTAAGGCCAAGATGGACCCTCAGAGGCCGATGCGGACCCTTAGAGGCCGGCATCGGGTCTTCAGAATTCAGTGCGGGACCCTCAGAGGCACCTAAAGGTTAGTCTTGGGACCCCACAGACAGAAATGAGGCCACCAGAGGCCGGTGTGAGGCCCTCAGACGCCGGCTGGGCCCTTGAGGCCGGTTTAGGGGCCCTCAAATGAGGTCAATGTGGGTTCTCAGCGGTCAATGTGGGCGCTTGACCGCCACTGAAGGGCCCTCCGAGATCAGTGTAGGACCCTCAAAGACTGGTTTGGGAGCTGTTAATAGCTAGCGTGGAATTCTTGAGCCTCGTGACAGTCGAATAAAGGCCAGAGCCCCATACGCCCATGGGGGCCTATTGGTTGGTTGGGGGGGGGGGGGGCAAATGATATGATGGCCCCCTGATTAGCCTTTGGAGGGGGGAAGGGCATGGCCCTGATCCCCCCTCTGCGACCACCACTGCACTGAAAGTGGAAGGGGGAGGGGCAGATACAGACATTGCTGGCCACCAGCCTGTTTGAGCAGAGGCGGTGGCACGGTCACCCTGGCCCCCAGCCAGTACGCCTTTGACGAACTATGCCGACTCCAAGCAGATCCGGTCATACGACGGTTGGTCGTTTGTATACGCATTCTCCTGCACCGTGCTAGTATTGTCTTATACCTTTTCAGTGCTCGCTGTCCCGCGCCTCCTCGTGTTCAACAAAATGCTGTCACCAGGACCCACAGTCTTGTCTCTGATATGGTTTCCTTCATTGAGTGAAGGAAATTGCGGTCAATAACGCTGTAGACACAAAAGGGAATCTTTATCAAAGGGCAAGCTGAATAGTTGTCAAGTTACCGGGTGGTAGGTACCGTAGGTATACAGACACTTCAGTCAGCAAAAAGTGGGGGGGCAGTTAACATTGCTGCCCCCCACCCCCCCCCCCCCCCCCACCTCCGAAAGTGGGGGCCATGGCCCCCCGGCCCCCCTGTTCCTACACCTATGGCACCAGTGGGGGGCATAAGTTACCACCCTGTCGCGTTTTTTTTTTTGCGTGTGAATAAAAAACCGCGTTGGAGTAGCTTTCTTTACATCAATGTTGGACAATATCTGAAATTTTTGACCCCAGGTCATGTCAGGTCAGGTCACCAGGTCAAGTTAAACTGACCAAGCCTAAAAAAGTTTGCAATCATGTGCAGCCTGCAATGTTTGTCAGAGAGGTTTACACTTGGTGGATTGCATGATGTTATGGGCGCCTATAATTTGTATATATATATCTCGGATTTTTTATATCCGTGACCTAATGTCAGGCCAGTGGCGTGACCTTACCATTTTTTTTTCATTTCATTTCATTTCATTTATTTCATGCCATGAGGCACATATTCATGGTAGAATAAAACGCGACAATGATAATGATACACACACATTCCCAAGCACACACAGTACACACACACACACACACACACACACACACACACACACACACACACACACACACACACACACACACACATACAAACGTCAGAAAGTACCTATTGGTATCAGACTCTTATGCCTGCCATTTCGTTTCGTGTGCGAACAAAGCGTTCCAGTCGGCCGACGAACATGTTCGTTAAATCGCGTCCACTCACTGCATGGAGGTTCAGGCCCAGCAGGTCGTAGGAGCGTCTGATCTGCCAGGCGCAGATCCAGCGGGGGGCGGCGGGGGCGCCCCCCCCCCCCCCTCCATCCGAAAAGACGCCCATAGCTCGCGGCAGAGAGGGCGTCCCGAGCAGAAGAGCGGCGACACAGCAAAGGTTGAGAAGAAATAGGGCGCCTCCAGCAGAAGTTGGGCTCACCAAGCAGGAGAGCGATGCCCAATTGCCCATTCCCAGCAGATGAGAGTCGCCCCAGCAACCGATGGGCGCCCCCCAGCAGAAGAGGGGCGTCTTATTACAAGAATAAAAAGATACCTTCTGTTCAAGAGGGGCGCCCCTGGCAGCGGAAGGGCACCCCAGCAGGAGAAAGCACCCCCGAAGAGGAGCGACTCCCCAGCAAACGGAGAGAGGCGCCCCCATTCCGAGAAGAGGGGCGCCCTGACAGCAGATGGGCGCCCCCGGCAGCGGAAGGGGCCCAGCAGAAGAGAAGGGTCTCCACCAGGAGAGGGGCGCCCCCAGCAGAAGAGGGGCGCCCCAGCAGAAGAGAGGCACCACAGCAAAAGTTGATCAGAAATAGGGAGTCTCCGGCAGAGGTTTGGCTCGCCGAGCAGGATAGGGGCGCCCCATTGACAATATCCGGCAGAAGAGAGTTGCCCCGGCAGCAGATGGGCGCCCCAGCAGACACCAGTCGTCGGGTGCCCCCAGTAGAAGAGGGGCGCCCCATTACAAGAAGAAAAGGAGCATATTCTGCACAAGAGGGGGGGGGGCGCCTCTGACAGCGGAAGGGCAGCCCCAGCAGAGGGGCGGTGCCCCAGAAAAAGGAGAGGAGTGCCCCACTCCGAACAAAAGAGGGGCGCCCCAGCAAAAAAGAGGAGCCCATAAGAAGAAAATGGGTGCCGCTAGCAGAGGAGAGACGTCGCCCGCAGTGGAAGGGCGCCTCCAGCAGAGACGTGTCCAGCAAAAGAGAAGTGCCCCCTGCAGGACAGAGGCACCCCAGCAAAAGTTGGACAGAAATGGGGCACCTCCAGCAGAATTTGGGGTCGCCCAACAGGAGAGGGTCGCCCCATTCACAGTAGAAAAAGGGACTCCCCAGCAGCAAAGGGGCACCCTAACAGAACAGTGCACTCCAAGTAGAAGTGTGACGCATCAGGAAGAAAAGGGGCGCTTCTAGCAGAAGATGGGCGTCCCAGATAAGTGGGTCGCCTACAGCAAATTGGTCGTTCTTAGAAGAAATGAGGCGACTTAAGCAAAGTGGGCCTCCCCATGAGGGATTGGGTGATCCAAGCAGAGGTTAGGTAGGGCACCCCCAGGAGAAGTGAGGCAAACCAGCAAAAGTGAGATGCTTCCAGAAAAAAGGGACATCACCGGAAGAAGAAGTATGCACCAGCAAATGGAAGCCACCTTTTTGCTAATATTTTTTGCTAACGTAGCGGCGCACATCTACGACTTTTAACCCGCGCCGTGCTGGTGGTCTGAGTTTTCCGTGTCGTGCTGGGGGGGGGAGGTCACGCCCCCTCGTCTTACTCGGCTCCTAGGGCGCGTAGCGACACGCGGTAAGCGGTTTTCTAGGTTAGGCCAAATAAGGTTAGTTCACCAAAGGTCATCAAAGGTAAAATGTTGCCTATGTCAACATTTTTCGAAACACCGGCACATAGCTCGGAATTCGGAAACCAATAGAGCTATAGTGCCGCGGTAAAACGCATTCAATAGCCCTTTCAACGGTGTTTCTGTAAACTGCCCTCAGAATTGACCTCTGGTCAACGGTTTAGCCTCCAGAGGGCAAAAACTCTAAAATTAACAGTTTTACATTTCCTGCGCTAGATTTCGACTCAAGAGAGTCTCGACATTACGCTTGCCAGCATCGCGTTTCTGTCGTCGAGACGCGTCGAATGGACGATAGAATGACCTTGAAAAGGTAATTCAGGTCAAGGTCATGACCTCCCCGGGAAATGTCATGTTGCATATCAGTCGATCCGTATCGTCGAGCTGAACACAACTGAGGTGCTTTTATCGTTCTAGCATGTATCTATCAAAAGTTATTTTCAAAAAACTGTTGTAGACCTTCATGAACTGGGATGACCTGTGGGACATAATAAATGGTCACAGGTGCAATTTTCTTATCCAGTGTGTTAATTTTACATGTATTCTAATTCCAAATGCTTGCGATTGTCTAGAATGGCGCTCATCCAAAAGAGATGCCTTTCAGTTGTCTCCCAGAAACTTAGTTAGGTATATACCTAATGGAGATTGGAGAGGTCGCAATACTGACCTAACCTTAGCTCACAAATATCAAAATTCCGAGATATACATTTCATGAATATTGTTGCTTTCACCAATCGCTGACAGTTTCAAAGCGACCGTTCAGTCGGTATAGCAATGGTCATGGTGAACATTTTAACTTATCTGGCGGTAGGTCACTTGGCTTGACCTGGTGACCTGTCGTTGCATGACCCGGGTCTGACATTTTAACAACTTGTGCAGAAAAGATGCATGATAAGGTGTGCTAA